ACGACGATTCTCCTGAAACCCTAATTTTCCAACTCGATCTGAGAAGCTATGGACGCCATTGATTCCGCAATCGATCCACTCAGAGATTTCGCTAAGAGTAGCGTCCGTCTCGTCCAGCGCTGTCACAAACCTGATCGCAAGGGTACGCTATTTTCAATTTCTTTTAGAAATTAGAGGAATATGTTACGATTCGTTAGGTTCATTTTTGGATCTGGAGATCTGTAATTTTCGGTTTTGGGATTTATTTATCTCCAGAATTCACGAAGGTGGCTGTGCGTACGGCGATAGGATTTGTGGTGATGGGATTCGTCGGGTTCTTCGTGAAGCTCGTATTCATCCCAATCAACAACATCATCGTTGGATCTTCTTAGGCTATTACTCTTTTACGAGGTTTTACTCTAATTTTGATGATTTGGCAACATAGTAATAATAAGTCAATATTGTAAATGGATCTCGCATTATATATAGGTTATGTTTCTTGCAATATATCAATGGTTATGCTCATTTCGAAATAGTTCCGGATCTAGACCACATAGATTTGTAATTATATTGGCGGAGAGAGAAGTTGCTGTTATAGTTGTAGAATTTAGGATGAATTTTCAGCTGGTTTCTTGCCTTGAGATTTAAAAGCTTTGATTTATCTGCATTGGTTTTGCCAGATTCGCTACGATTCTGTCTCATTTTATCTCTGCCCCTCTATATATCTCATGAGTTTCTGTTCTGAATCCATTCTCTACAGTTTGTCATGGAGTCTTTGTATCATGTTGATATGAGCTTATTGTTCATGAGGGTTGCCTTGTAGTCTTTCTTTACCTTGCGGATCTTCAATCGTATTTTATTGTACTACCCTTTGATTGTTTCTTTCTTTTTTCTTTTTTGTTCAAATGATTGTTTCTTTCAACCAAGATATCATGATAATAAAAAGTTCACATGTGAAACCTCTCTCTGTAATCTAAACTAAACTGTTTATGTTTGCAGGCTTATGCGCCAAGGAGTAGGAAGGAAAGAGACTCCAACTTCCAAAACCTGTTGTGCAACCTCTCTCTGTTTTTCTATGTTACATTATCTCCCTTGGATTTTATCGTTTCTTTTGCTCTCGCCTCTTGTCTACCCTAAAACACCTTCTTTTTGTATACCAAAAACACAGTCCTCAAGAACTACGCTTTAAACACGAGATCCGAAATAGAACCAAAGCCATCATATTATTATGATATTCCTGAATCCTGATGTAGCATAGATTCAGATCTCATAATGAAATAGAAGAAAGCTAATTATAAATTCCTCTCATCCACAAATTTTACATTTTAGTGGCTTCCCTGATTGTTATTGAATCCTCAAATCATTAAAAAGTGTATTCTCTCTCAAATCTATAAATAAAGACCACCAAAAATTACAAAGGAATTTTTATCATCACTGAATAAAACATTCAGTACTCTCATTTTGAAACGATTAGAGTTCTTTTCTATGGTTTCTTTCTCTATTCTTCTCAAAGTTTACCTATTTTGGTGGTGGCAACAACAATCCCTCTTCATCCATGGGCTTTTCCCCAAAATCTTCAAAATCTCCACTATCCATTTTAAGATTCTCTCTCCTCCTATTTAAACCCCAAGAACCTCTCCTCCCCACCCCCACCGTCCTCTCCCCAAAATCTTCAAAATCTCCACTATCCATTTTAAGATTCCCTCTCTTCCTATTTAAACCCCAAGAACCTCTCCTCCCACCCCCACCGTCCTCTCTCCTGTTCTGCCACTCTCAATTCACACACCAACATCGTAACTTTTCTGTTAAGTTTGTTATTGTAAATTCTCAATCCTCCCTATTACTCTTGTATGAGAATACACACACACTTTCTGAATAATACTTTAAGTAAATCTCTAAAGACAAAGTACCAGAATCGAGGAGATTACAACGAAAGGAATAACAAACGTGATCTCATAACGATCACATAGGTCTCATGGCGACTCTCTTTTACATCATACAAGCATGAGAACCTGATGCTCTTATTCCTATTATTTATAAGCGTAAAATGTAAAAGATTCCAACTTGCAAAGCCACTGTTTCCAACCTCGGCTTTGCTCCTTCTCCCTTCATCAAACAGTCAACCTGCCACGTTGACATGTTCCTCCCTCTCTATCTCCATTACATTTAAGTCTCCCTCCTTGTACTTCAGTCTCTTTCGAATATACACCTGGTGCAAGGTATCAATACCCCACCCAACCAGACAGAGCATGTCCTCAAGCTGAAACTCCGGGTACTTCTGCACAATACTCCACCCCAAATTCCAAGCCGATTCGTGTGAAGATAAGCCAGACCATTGAATCAAAACTTCCAAAAAAACATGACTGTGTATAATGAGTGTCAAGGACGTGTTCAGGCAAAACCACAAACTCTTCTGTTGTTGCAAAAGATTGAGGCAAGAGTGTCACCTGAGATATCTCACCCACCACCGGCTTGAGCTGTGAAATGTTGAAGACGAGGTGAATGTGTGAGCCTTCAGGGAGACGAAGTCTATAAGCCACCTTCCCAATACGTTCAAGCACCTCAAAGAGGCAGTAGAATTTCACCACAAGCTTCTGACAGATACGCTTGGACACTGATGACTGACGGTACATACGCAACTTCAGGAACACAAAGGTGTGGTCTGAATCGCTGTGTGGAAGCATATACAACGTTGAAAGGTGTGGTTTGAATCGCTGTGTGGAAGCATGTATTGTACCAATACTCAGCCCAACTCAAGTACTGCAACCATGTCTTAGGATGGTTGACACAAAGAAACATAGATAGTTCTCCAAGCAGCGAGTCAACTCCTTCGTTTGCCCATCAGTTTGCGCTTGAAATGCAGTGATGTATTTCAATGTAGTTCCCACAAGCTTGAAACTTTCCTTCCAGAATGATCTCAGGAAAACGTTATCTTTATCAGAGACAATAGAATCTGGAAAACCATGGAGTTTCATCACTTCCAAAGTGAACTTATGAGCCACATAACCTGCTATATACGGGTGTTTGAGACCGTAAAATGCGCAAACTTGCTGAAGTAGTCCACGACAACCATAATGACACTGACACCACGAAAAGCAGGTAGGCCATCAATGAAATCCATGCTTATGTCTTTCCAAACCATCGTCAGAATAGGTAAAGGCTGAAGTAGGCCAGGCGGTGAAAGCGTCGAGGTTTTGGGAGTCTTACAAATCCCACAAGCTGAGACATAATCCTGGACATGTAAACGCATATCCAATGAGAAGTCTGTTGGATCCGTTTCAAGGTCTTGAAGACACCAGTATGCCCTCCAACGAGAGTGTCATGGTTCTCCTTAAGGATTAAGAGAATAAGATGTGAACTAGAGGGAATGACCAGCCTTCGTTTGAACCGTAAATTTTTATCAGCTTCAAAGTACCCTGGATTCAGAGGGTATCCGGCCTAACTTGTCACAATAAATTCTGAATGTTGTCATCTTGCTCAATCTCTGCATAGATATCTTGCAACTGAACAACATACAGAACCATTAGAGCAAACATGGTTGAGTAGGCCTCTGAAACAGAACTCTGCATCTGTCTGGAAAGACCATCAGCCACTTTGTTCTCGATCCCAGGTTTGTAATGAAATAGAAGAAAGCTAATTATAAATTCCTCTCATCCACAAATTCTACATTTTAGTGGCTTCCCTCGATTGTTATTGAATCCTCAATTCATTAAAAAGAGTATTCTCTCCCAAATCTATTAATAAAGACCAGACCAAAAATTACAAAGGCATTTTCATCATCACCGAATAAAACCTTTACTACTCTCATTTTAAAACGATCCAAGTTTCTTTTCTGTGGTTTCCTTTTCTATTCTTCTCAAAGCTCACCTACTATGGGGGAGGCAACGACAACCCGAGCTTCTTCCATTGCCTTCTCCGCAAAACCTTCAAAATCTCCACTACCCATTTCAAGATTTTCCCTCCCTTTCTCCTTAAACCCCAAGAATGCCTCCTCCCACCCCGCCGTCCTCTCTCTTGCTCTGCCACTTTCAATTCACACACCAACATCGCAACTTCTCTGTTAAGTTTGTTACTGTAAACTCTCAATACTCTCTATCACTCCTGTATGGGAATACAAACACACTTTCTGAAGAATACTTTAGGTAAATCTCTAAATACAAAGTACCAGAATCGAGGAGATTACAACAAAAGGAATAACAAACGTGATCTCCTAACGATCATAGAGGTCTCATGGCGACTCTCTCTTATACGTCTTACAAGCATGAGAACTTGATGACTCTTATTCCTATTATTTATAAGCGTAAAATGTAAAAGATCCCAACTTTCAAAGCCACTGTTTCCAACCTCGGCTTTGCTCCTTCTCCCTTCTTCACACAGTCAACCTGCCACGTTGACATGTTCCTCCCTCTCTCTCTCCATTACGTTTGAGTCTCCCTCCTTGTACTTCAGTCTCTTCCGAAAGCACACCTGCTGCAAGGTATCAATACCCCGCCCAACCAAACAGAGCTTGTCCTCAAGCTGAAACTCCGGGTAGTGCTGCATAATATTCTACCCCAAATTCCGAACTGATTCATGTGGAGGTAAGCCAGACCTTTGAACAAAACTTCCAAAAAAACATGTTTGTGTATAATGACTGTTAAGGACGTGTTCAGGCGAAACCACAAACTCTCCTTTTGTTGCAAAAGATTGAGGCAAGGGTGTCACCTGAGATATCTCACCCACCACCGACTTGAGCTGTGAAATGTGGAAGACGAGGTGAATGCGTGAGCCTTCAAGGAGACGAAGTCAATAAGCCACCTTCCCAATACGTTCAAGCACCTCAAAGGAGCCGTAGAATTTCACCGCAAGCTTTTGACAGATACGCTTGGACACTGATGATTGACGTTACGTACGCAACTTCAAGAACAAAAAATTTCCAACCTCAAAAGACATATCCTGACGATGTAGATCAATCGACTTCTTCATCGCTTCTTGAGCTTTAACCAAAAAGATACTTAACACGATCCATCTTGAGATCGCGTTCCTTGATACTTTTCTCCAGCTCAAAGTTATTGGTGGAACCACTCTCAAAACGGATTAGAGCCGGGGGGGGGGGGGGCC